CGGACGAGGAAGCCCCGCGCCGCCGCGGGCCCCGCCGCTCCGCCCAAAGGGGGTCGAAGCGCCGGCGAGCGAGGGGTGTGAGGGGAGAGGGGGACAAGGTAAAGCTCAATCGCTCACCCTCCGCGCGAGCCTCTGGGCTCTCTCAGCCCCGCTCCTCCGCCCTCCTCGAGCCGCGGCGGCGGCGGCTCCTCAGCGGCGCTAGGGGGAGCCCCGGGCCCGGAGCGGGGCAGCGGCGGCGGCCGGACCGGGAGCCCCTCCGCACCTGCCCCTGTGGCGGAGCCGCGACGAGCCAGGCGGCGGCGGCGAAGGCGGCTCCGATCCGGGAGGGCAAGTGACCCGGATGTACAGGGTAACGGCGAGGAGGGGGAGGGGGGAATGCCAGGAAGTGAGGGCGCCGCGGACCTGTCCGGCCTTGCGCATGCGCCAAGAGCCCGCCCCGCAAGGTAGATCCTTCCCCGCCCCCTCCTCCCCCGCCCCTCCCGATGGGGGCGTGGCGAGGCCGGAGACAGGTGGTCCGGCGGGCGCGAGAAGAGGAAGGGGGCGCGGCCAACTCCTTCGCGCCCCCGCCCTCCTTAAAGGGGCAGCACCTTAGGGCGGAGATGGTATCTGGGTAGGTCTGGATCTTGCAGCCTTTTAATTTTACAGATGGAAAACAGGGGTTCAGAAGTGGCGCCGGCCTGCCTCAGGTCAGCGAGCTCGGAAATGGAAGGAACTGGAACTCGGGACTCGCAGACCAGGGCTCTTTGTGCTGAACCCAGCGAGGTTGCACATCCCAGTCCCCAAACCCGACCCCCAATCTGGAATGGCTGGAGTGGTGGACACAGGTACTGAGTCTCCCTGTCTCTCCCAGACTAGGCAGATGTGCTTGGCAAGCTCCCCAGAGCGGAGAGGTGCACCGTTATCGCCTGCGATGGTATCGTGTTGACGCCCTTGGGAGGTGTTAAATGATCAGTCTGAGAACAGAAATCAGGCGCCACTTGAGACTTGTGCTGTGCCACACGTATCTCTTTCAGATAAATGAGACTTGGTTCTGGGGTCTACTCTGTGCAAGAATGTCTGACGACAGAACTTGGAGGTGGCAGAGGGCGTAGCCTTTTCATTTCCCCCTAAAGCTCCTTTCACTCTTCTTACATAATTGCTCCCTCTTTACATACAAAACCAGAACATGCCATTTAGCTAGCTCATCCTAATCCTGTTATGAAACGCTCAGATTTTTTCATTAACACTAAAGTGTAAATGGTTACAACGTTACCTCTCCTGGGGGTGTTTTCAGTTTGACTGCTGAGCAAATCATTACTATGGAGGTAAATGGTTCTGAACATTTTGGAGTCAAGGGCTCTACTAAAAAAATCTCATAAAAGTATGGGCTTTTCTCCCCAGGAAAACGCACATATGCACCCAAATTTGCATATATTTTCAGGGGATTTGTGGATCCAGGAAGCCTATCTATGAAATCCTGATTATGAACCCTTGTTCTAATCAAATTGGATGTGAGGAACTATCTGGGCCTTACCATATGTGGCCAAGAAATCACTCCATGCCCCAAATACAGAAGGGCAGCCCTTACCTTATTTAGCCTTTTGTCTTCCTCTTGAGTTACACAGAGACCAGATGGTACTGGCCATATTACACAGAAATGTGTTAAGAGAGTCACAGAGAGATTAGGTGGCTTTTCAAGGCAGGCAGTAAGGGGAAAGAGTCCTAGGCTTCAGACTTTTACCCTAATATTTTAGGATATCATATGTTGGAATGATTTGGGGGTTCTATACTATATCTATTAAAATCATCAATTTTAATTAAACTGAGGGAGCTGATATTTGTATTACAAACATTGGTGCTGATAGAACAGTCTTTACAATCCCAGAACTTGGGTCCATTTGCTTGACACACTGGCACTCTTAAATAACTCTAGTCCAAGTGGACCCACTGTGCTCAGTTTAAACCACAGGAAAAGTTCACACACATGCCCAGCCCCATAAGCCCTGAATAACCACACCTCTAACCCAATTTCCCACCAAAAGCAAAAATCTCTTCCATAATACCCTTGACACATTAATAATGCCCAGTTTAGCTTGAATATTTCCAATTATGGGAAGCTCATTGCAGTGGTCAATCTTCTATAATTGTGAGAAACCTGTTCTTTTACAGTGAGCAGAAATCTAATGCCTAACAATTTTCATTCATCGGTCCTAATTTTATCTCTAGGGAGCAATATAGACATGATGCTGGCCTCGGGGGAGCTTATAAGAGTCCAACAAAGAAAACAGTCCATTGATGAGCGGTAACAATAAAATAGGATGAGCCCCATGAGGAGTCCCTTTCAGGGGCACCTTTCTCCTCATCAGCCCTAGACCGGTTCCTAGCCTGTGCAAGAATTCACAAGTAACCTCTACCACTACCCCATGTCAGATGCGGTGAAAGAGGGACAGAAAACAAGACCCTAAGAGAAGTGCTGAATTTATTCTTCCACAACCCTTTCTTCACCATTCTGCATGAATGTAATCACATTTCAGCAGGTCAAAACTTTTAAAGTTGTATGTGAAAAAAAAACAAGCAGAAGGGTGCAAAAAAGGATGTTTGCATAAGAGCACTAGGCTCTCAATGATGATTTCATCGCTGTGGCTTGCTAGCGTTTTCTCGTTTTGAGTCCTTACTATATGCCAGGCACTGTTCTAAGCCCTTGACTTGCATTTCCTCTTCTGCTTTTTACAACCACCCTCTCGGTACTATTTACAACCACTCTACATGGTACTATTATCGTGTCCATTTTATAAATGAGGAAACGGAGGCTCAGTATGAGACAGATCCAGGATTCAAACCCAATCTGTCGACTTCACAGTTTGTCTGTTTCTCCATTCACACGAACTTGACTCTTTGTCTCCTTCTGTAAACTTCTGAAGATCTTATTCTTTAAATGCTGTTTTCCTTGAAATTTTTATTTATTACCGAATCAACTTTAAAATGTTATAAAGGACAAATGGTTTCACTCCATCATTGACTCATTCAATCAACACACATTTTTGCTCCCCTACTATGTCTTAAGTACCATGCTGAGCGGCTAGGGTAGAAGACAGTAAGACATGTGGTCTCTGCTCTGGAGGGGCTCAGAATTTAGTGACAGGAAGAGCTCTAACCTCACAATTACAACACAGCATGGTTCGTTGTAATTTAGGAGGGTGGAGGAACCCAACGCTCTCTGGGACAGCTGTGAAGTCTTTAAGAGATGGCAGCAGGAGGGCAGAGAGGAGAAGGCACATGGGCATAGGAGGGGGGAGTTCAGGACATGCTGGGGGTAAGACTGGGGTGGTGGGATTGTAAAGGACCTCCTCAGACACCACATTAAGCAGCTTGAATTTTCCTTGTGATGGCAACAAGTAAATAAAAGCTTCTAAGCAAGGTAACATAATCAGGTGTGTTTTATAATAAGATCTCTCTGATCACAGTGTCCAATATGGATTACGGTGGGAAAGAGAATGGAGGTCAGCAGACCAGTGAAGCTGTTGTGGGGACCAGGTGAGAAATAACTAGAGGCTGGCCTAGGAAACGGGCAGTGGAGAGGGAGAATGGACACCTGAATTAAGATACTAAATGATATAGAATCTACGGGGGTTTGGGACTAGTTGAATCTGGGAGAAGAAGAAACAGAAAGTGTGGGGCACGACCCTGAGGTTCCTAGCTTAGCAGACTAATTGGATGGTAACACCATCCAAACCCAAGACCTTTACGCAGTTTTCAGTCTTTCTCTTCCAAATTTTATCCGTGTAAACACACATTGCTTCAGTTGGAATATTCAGATATGTGCAACTATTTCCCAATACTTTTTCATATTTCTACAGTCACATTTATCATTTTAATGGCTGCGGAGTATTTTGTCATGTTGAAATAGCTCAGTTTCCTTCAGTTGCTAAAGGTCCACACCCTGCATGCCTGGCTTACCCTAAGCTCATTCAACTCTGGGCATTTTGCAATGGGTGAGTTGAGCGAGGAAAAAGAGCCTTTAGGTGAAGGGTAATGGAAAAGTGTGGCCTCAAGGGCCGGCAAAGCTGCAACTCTCGTGGGAGAGGCTTGAGCAACTATAGTATGTAGACACTGCAGAGGTCTGGAGAAGAACCTACCAACCATGGGAATTCTGATGTCTCATTCTCTATGCAAGCTAGCTGTCAAGGCGTAGCCCCTCTAATCCATTCCTTCATTTATTCACTCACTCAGCAATGCATTCTAGTGAAACGGAGGGCAACAGAGCAAAGCTAAAACCACCTCAAAGCTCTTGGGTCTAGCCCGTCCAGGGTTTCAAACCTGTTCTACAGCTTACACAAGTTATTCAACCTCTCAGAGCCTCAGTTTCCCCACAAGTTTGTTGTAAAGATTAATTTAAGACTTGTAAAATACTTGGGACAGAACTTAGCATACATGAAGGTCAATAATTCTTTTCAGTCTTGGTTCCTTCTTTATGCTTCCTGGACTCCCGCCATTTTCTTGCGTTTCTGAGCAAATCCACCAGGCAACAATACACATGCTCGAATTCAGAACCTGAATCTGCCAGGGTGAAACAGGGCCACTCACTGGATCTCTCTAACCTTCCATTTCCCATCTGTAAAATGGGCATACAATCCTACTTCACAGGACTGCTGCAAAGCTCTCATAAATACTGTAGAGAAAAATATATGCCATTATTGACTGCATTGCTGCTGTTATAGACATCGTTGTTGTCTTGGATTCTCCCCGATAAAGAAAAAACAGTGACCTCAGCATAAACTCCCTGGATTGTAATTACTGGGTCAAAGGATCTGAACGTTGTTATGGTTCTTTATTTGTATTGCCCAATTGCCCTTCGAACTTTGAAGAGTTACTGCCATCGTTAACTCAAATACGCTATCTACCTATGTTGAAGCACCTAGAATACACTTTTTGTTGCCTCTGTGCCCAGTCTAAGTCCTCAATCTATCACTCAGGGACTTCTGTCAATTGCTTCCCTCCCTTCAGGAAATGAATGACTACTGAATCCTTGAGGCAAGAGGCACCTTCCCAAACATTCCCTCCACAGCCAGGGGTTCAAGGTTAAGGACTAAGGCTCCAGTGTAATGCCTTATGAATGAGCGTCCAGTAGGTGAGCTGAATACATGCGGAATAGGACAAGGGGAGGAGGTCTGGGAATTCCATGTTGAAAGATGGCATCAGAGCTGTTATTCAAAAAAGAACCAAAGTACAAAGCCAACTGTTCAAACCCAACCCACTCCTGTTTGTTAGCAAAACATTAACCAATCTCTTGGGAGGGGAGCCATAAAGTGATCCTGACAGCCGTATTTCCCCAGAGTTACGAGATCTATCTATGAGCCTCCGTTCCATC